GCTTCCCATCGCATCGGCATCGCGTGGCTCCGAGCTCCTCCAACGAGATTCCTCATCCGGCTCATTTCTCCCGGCTCTTTCGGAGATGCAAAAGCTGACTCTGGCGCGGCGTCAAGCGCTCATTATTAATACGCGAGGCGGTGCTTGTGCTAGAGCGGCGGCAAGCATTCACGTGTTTTTCCTCGGGGCGCCCGGCAGGGAAACGGGATGAAACTCTGCAAGTGAAGGGGGCGTAGGAGATGGAGAAAAAGGAGGATGAAGACGAAGGGTGGTAGGTATCGAACAGAGCACCTGCCGCCTCTAAATCTCGCTACTTAAGGCCGCTAAGTGTCACGGCCGTGAAGAGGAGCCTCTTGCCGTTGCATTTAATTGGCTAGTCTCATACGCTCGCTATTTCTAGCGAGCAGAGTTGTTAACCCATTACCAGCCGCTTACAACCGCGGTAAACACGATGTGGCGCGCGAGACCGGCTCGATTTCGCGGAAATATATCCACGTGTGCCACCTGAACGGCAAATCTACCATCAAAAGACTAAACGCGCGCGTAAATTAGATACGAATTTAACCGCTCGAGGTGTAAGCGGACAAAGAAACTTATGAAACGGCAAAGCTGCGCGTAGGCTGCTTTCAAATAGATGTTGCAAAAATATATATTTAACGCGTGCTTCGTAGCCGGTATGCCATTTTCTACTTTTAACACTAAATGAAGCCCTTTGATCCTTAGTTTAAGTTAATACACATCAGTATTCTTATAAAACAAATAAAACTTGAGAAAATTAGATGGCTGTATTTTTTTTTTTAATCTTAAATGTAGAGCATGAATATGCAATTATTTATTTAGCTGTATAAATAATTTCAATTGATTATATATCGGGAAGATTCTTTTCTGTCACTCTTACCTACGTCTAATAATTATTTGATTAAATACAAGACCTCTGAGAAAAAATCTGAACGAATGCCAGATAATAAATAAATTGCAGGCAGCATGATTCTTGGAGGCTCGCATGTTCACACACGATTTAACAAACTTGCTTTCCCGTCATTTTTACATGTTTCCTCGGCATTTCGCACGCACGAAAATGTATCGCGTTAAGTAACCAGTGGTTGTTAATAGTCGGCAACTAACCAAAGTGTAGAGGCGTCGTGACACATGGCGCAAAACGTTGCCAAATTCCAGTAACAAATGCGTCACGGTTGCCCAATCCATCCGACAGGTGCACGTAAATTAATAAGCCGCCTAACTTACGACACGCTGCATATAAATTGGATGATATCGCGGGGAGAAAAAAAGAAATTTCTCGTCTCTCTCTCTCTCTTTCCTGTGACATTCTTATTAGGAGAAACGCATTAAGAAATTCTTTCAACGACTATCCCGCCTCTCTCGATCTCCGAATTTGCGATTCCACAAAATCCACGAATCGATTGGACATAGCTAATTTAATAAGCAGCGCGGACTTTACGAGCCGATTCAGCAGCCGCAGCAGCAGTAGCGGCAGCGGCAGCAGTTGCAGTCGAGATTTAAAAGCCGCTTTGCAACTACCCTCCCTCCCACCCATTCGCGTTCTACCGCAACTCTTTCTCGTTTCGTCTGTCTGTTGCACGGTCCATGGACAGCATCGTTCTCGGCGCAAGCCGGCCGGCTTAATGTTGTTTTAATTAAGTAGGCGGTTAGCCGAAAAGAATGTCGAGTCGGTACTTTCGGTCTCGTCGACTTCCCCTGCCGCTACCTTTTCTCTTTTCCTCCTCCTCTCCCCCTTTTTCTCTCTCACTCTCTCTCTCTCTCTCTCTCTCTCTCTCTCTCTCTCTCTCTCTCTATTTCGAGAGGTGCCGCGTAACTCAAGTCGCATGTGTTCTTCGTATGTTCAGACGCGATGGACGATTTCGCTTGACTAATCGCCGTCTTTTTAATCCCCTCTACGACGTGAAGGGAAAGGAAGACGTCGTGCTCCACGTGTAAAATGTTCTCGTGTTTATCTACGACAGGCTTGAATCAACTGTCGTGCGCAACGGTCGACGGTAGTATCAATATTTGAAGACTCAAGGCATACACAGGGTTGCAAATGCCAAAAATAAATTGTCATTTCATTTAAAATTGTCGAGAATTAATGGTTCATTTACCTGATTTCGAGATTATCTTAATCTTGAGATTCCTTTTCAAGACGTGGTGCCACTCTTCGAATTTCTGTACGCTTTTCTCGTGATTTTGCACGTCGACCACATAAAAGTCACTACAAAAATAAAAATTATTTTAAAATACTAAAATATATTTATAGCCTATATTTATAACTTCTTTTATGTTAGTTTTAATTTCTATTGATTAAATCAGAAGAATTGATTAAAGTTAGACATTTTGCATATATTTACACGTTAATGCATAATATGATCAATATAATGTTCAGTCGCAGATTCAATTATTCCATATAATTTGATTCTAAAATACAAAACTGTATCTCTCGCGGTAAATATAGTGTTAAGATTAAGATGAAATCGATTTCCTGATGATGTAGATTATTAGCGAGGTTAATGAGCGATGTTAAATCGTGGACCGGCTCCTTTCGCTGCGAGAACGTGTTTATGTATAACATACATCTGGATATATTATTAACTGATGCAATGATATTTTTTAACGCGTATTATAAATTAATAAAAAGCAACATAATTCATAAAGAATTTTAATACAATTAATAAAAAAAATGTTGATCATTCTTTTAGATATAACTTTATATAACGCGAAAAATAATTTTGTAAATTCTCACGACTCTTAAATTTTCGTATGAGTTATAATGTGAAAGAGAGTTGAAGGATGCCATGGCTGCATCTCTCTCCATATATAGCCGCTTCAGCAGACCGTAAAATTGCCGTGTAAAAATGTATAAAAATGGTACGTCTGCCGGTACATAAAAGCGCGCTTATTATCAGTTGAATTAACCTAGTGTTCGGTTGGAACAATTCTTCGCAAGCATAAAGCAACGAAACCCTTTGTATTAAGAAAGAAGATTCACTCTTTGTGCTAAATTACACCAGAGCTCAAAATTATCACAAATTACACACCGAGTTATTTGTGAGAAACCAGGACAAAATGACGATACATAGGGGGTAAAGTTTTAATTATAATTTCCTCAATTTGCTAATAAGAAATGATAATAAAAAATTATTTCTAATTGAAAAGTATGCAACTGTACGTAACGTCATTCTGAAATTTATCGCGATAAAAATGAGCTCATAAGAAGTCTTTAACTGATAATCTTGTCAATTTTATTGACATTTATCTGATACAAAAAGAACAAAAATCAAGAATTATTTTTCGTGCAAAATCGCTCCTTTCACTTTTGCTTCGTTTATTCAATTTTTGTATTTTAATTCACGAAGTTTGAAAAAAGAGGTATCTTCGAATTTTATCGATTTACAATCTCTCTCATTACCGTATCGGTTACACAATTTTTTCGGCGCAATTAATAGCTTAAAGTGTGTCTCGCAATTTCTCCACATTTTCGCGTGTCGCAAATCGCGCCGGTGCATTCGGGAAGCTGCAATCACGACGGCGGATCGTCACCGAGGCAGACGGTTGAAATCTGAGAGAAGAAACACTTCCCGCGTATTCCGCTATAGCTTTACGGTAATAGCTGTCCGGACGGGCAACTCTCCGTTCTGCATTTACGTCGGACAATTATAAATCGTATCTCATCACCTTTCCTCGCCTCTGTTTCGCCGTGATTTTTATCGGCGCCGCAATCACGCCGGCGACTCTCATCCGTAACCGCTTTAATCACATTTTAACTGTACCGAGTGTCCATGATTACAGTGTACACGTTCGAGGAGCACAGTTACGCTCCAAGCACGATATGCACGCTGTTAAATAATGCGATACGATGATCCGCAAGAAAGTCGGACGACGCGAATTATTTGCAAACTATCAATCATTGCTTCATATTGCAATTACATTATATTTCATATACATATGTCACCGACTTGTAAGAAGAGCGCATACGCGAATACTTTTATTTTAATCGATCTCCTCTTTAATTGATATTTTCTGATAGAGTAAAATATCAATTAAAGAGGATCGATTAAAAGAGAAATATTTGCATACGTGCTATCTTTACAAGTCGGCGAAATTGTATGTGAAATACAACGCAGTCGCGAGTAATAAGAAACAATGATGCTTTGCGAATAATTCGCGTCATTCAACTTTCTTGCAAATCATCGTATTATTGAACAGCTTGCAGACACATACTGATTTCGAAACTGCTAATATTTGCTATTTCCTCTTTCTCTCTTTCTCTCTCCCTCTCTCTCTCTCTCTCTCTTACGTTATTATATTATATATATATAATCTAAACTAATAAAAATAGATAACTAATAAACTAATAAATATATAATCACATACATTGTACTTACAAAGCAACGACGCAGATGCGATTACTTCGTTTAGTATAAATTAATTAGTAATATACACCATGATATTGTGCGCGTGTCGATGCAAATGGCATATCGAAATACTATCGCCATCGTATGTTCAATTCGAGAACTATTAATGAATTAATTGTAAAAGTTTAACAGTCGGTACAGATAAAATAATATTCACATTTTGACATAAAAAAGCACGTTAATAGTTAGCCACGGGATTTTTTTTTATTTTATTATTATTCTACAAAATATTCAATTTTTATTTTATTATCTTTATTTAAAAGAGAAAATTATCTTACGGGTAAACTGCTCAACAGATAATGAGTCAACAGAGACGAAGGCGATTAATTTAAAGATTATATATCAAAGAATCGTTCGTAATTATCTTCTGATTTAATTACGAAAAGAATTAAGTAAAATATGTATTTTTGAGGGAAGGGAAGGGAGAGAGATAATCCAATTTATGTGGGAGAAAATAAAATTGCAATTTGAAGACATTATATTTATATATGTCTTATTACATTGCAAGACTAAGTAAAAGATTACGAAAGATTAATTTGGCAAAGCTAAATTGCTACATTAATTATGTTACAGATTATGGATGGAAATACCTGATGGAAAAAAGGAGAGGGGAAGAGAAGAGGGAGAAAAATCCCGTCAATGTGTTCTCGTCGACGACACACTCTGTTTATGCCATTCAAATGAGAAGCAGTGCTGACACGACGTGCGCGCGCGACTGCGTTGGCAGGCCTGGAATCGCAGCGAGTAAAAAATTGATGAGCTGTGAACACATAACACATCGCATATATCCGCAGTGCGCGTTGTGCACGTCGTGCAGGTGCAGCGAGCGAACAACACGCGTGCGGACACGTTTATACGCAAACACTGGCGGAGAGTATCACGATTGTTGTCGTTGTCGACGAGCGAGAGCCTAGCAATTGTTGGCCTAGCCCGGGACTCGTAGTCGCGGAGATGATCGTCGCTCGTGAGGATCATCGCGACGGGACGAGCGCGACGACGAGCCGGAAGCTCATCGCGGCGGGAATGTGAGCGAGGAAACGCGCTTCGCGAGAGCGTCGCGTCCGCGCGTCGTCGACCTGGCCCAGTTGGAGAGGAAGAGACGCGGACACGGACGTCGCGTGGTCGTTGCTTTATATGCTGTACGCTCTACACGTTCGCGGGAAGCGGCGGATTCGTAGCGGCGATGGCGGATTTCGACGCGATCTACGAGGAGGAGGAGGAGGAGAACGAGCATAATTTGGAGGAGCACTACGTCGCGATGGTGCCGGATCCGATCGTGATTCGCGGGGCTGGCAATATGACGGTGTAAGTTGAAATCAGTTGAAATGTATGTGCATCTAATCAGAACGTACGAGAGAGTTCTTTGTTGTCTCGAAAGTATAGGGGGAGGAGGTGGAGGAGGACTCGCGCGCTCTTTCACAAAGGGAGGCAAACAATGGATCACCTGATTTCGGTCAATTTTGACGCCTCGCAACGCGCGACTCGTCGTCCTTGTTATTGACATCGCGGATTGACGAGGCGATTTTTTCCTTAATCATGAAATGCATATTCAGCGTGATCGCGCGAATTGTTTATTTGTATGTATATATATGTACATATAATGAAATCATTATATCATCAATCTTCAAGTTGAATGAATATTATTTTAATCGATAAATGAGGAAAATGAAACATGTTTTACATGTACATACATATATATGACTATAAAATACATATGCTGTCGATAAAGACCTTTGCATTATCTGTGCCATGTTTATCTGCATTTTTAATTGCATGTAATATGTAAATGTTTGTGTGATAAATTATTACTTATTTCTGATAAAAAGATATTTATGCATATTGTTTATTTAGCATAATTGTTTCTGTAATCAATAAACAATATTCCTCAAATATCTGATCTGTATAATATAAAATAACATTATTATTTTAATATATACACATATAACAAAAGTTATTCTCTTGTGAAACTTTAAATCAAAATTTTATTAGATATATTAACATTCAAAGTTTTTCAAAATTCCTTAACTTTTAAGATTATATAAATCTGTAACTATTTATATGTAAAAAAGCATACACTATTTTATATATAGCTTTATTTAAAAGGTCTTCAATTAAAAGTCTTATCTAACCACTGATCTGCCACTGATGTTTGTATGATTATTCATATGTTGGAAGAAGATTATTAATCTATGTAATATTCTTTTTTCTTTTTATTTTAGATTCGGTCTCAGTAATCGTTTTGAATCGGAGTTTCCTAATGGCCTCATATCCCGGGTAGCACCAGAAGAATTTAAGGCAACCGTTATGAGAATAAATAGTGTACTGAAAAAGACTTTACCTGTTAATGTTAAGTGGTTATTCTGTGGTTGTGTATGCTGCTGCTGTACCCTAGGATGTTCTCTGTGGCCTGTTATTTGTTTGAGTAAAAGGGTAAGACATAATTATTATGTGAAATTTGAGATTTTTATAGCATTTGTGAAATAAATATGTAATATATAAATATTTAAATGTATATATATCTTCTTTTATAGACTCAACACTCATTAAACAAATTGTTAGAATGGGAAAACAGTAGACTTTACCATAAACTCGGATTACATTGGAGATTGGCAAAACAGAGATGCGATAGCTCTTCTATGATGGAATATGTAAGATATTACAAAATTATATTAGAATCTAGGATAAGCTATTATATATATATTGTGCAAGCTCAATAATATCAACTAATATTATTTTTTTATTTTCTTTCTTGACATTACAGGTTCTTCTAATTGAATTTATTCCAAAGATTCCAATCTATAAGCCCGACTAAGTATATAAACAATATAAAGTACATTTAAATTGTGCAATTAATAATGCATCAATATAAATCTTGTGCAATGCAACACTTACATGCAGAGAAATGCAGAGCAGATAAAGTGCCGCTACAATGATACAGGTACTCTTTCTGGTACTTATCTAATGCATATTTTTGTAAATACCATGGGTAGAAATGCACAGTACAATAATTCGACATAATAACGAATTGATGAAATTTAAATTATCAAAAGAAAAAGAGACAGCTATTTAGAAAAATCTGGTTATTATTTATTTTATATTCTTTATATCAGTTTTAAATTTTGTAAATTAAATCGCCATCTTAGTTTCTCATCATTTTCTCTATTCTTACTAAATATGTTTCGCACTGAAAACACCGCTCGATAATTTATTTGTCACTTTTTTTTTTAATTGCGTGAACGTAATAATCTCAGATAATGCTTACTGAGTTCCTTGTAATATACAGAAATCTGTACTCGTCAACTAGAATTTAAGCATTCAGGTGAGAAATTAATCTGATTCAGTACAACGAACATATTAAAATACAGATAATAAAGTGAAAATGAAAAAATCTCGCTAATAAATCTGTCTAATTGTGCGTAATACAACACATGCACGTTGTACATACATACATGTACATATATAGAAACTTATTTTAACTATAAGTTAATTTCTTACCATGGTGATATTAGAAAGTATGATATGTAAAGCACAGCTTTACTTTCTGATACAAATTTGACAAGATATTTTAACATGAACGAAACATCTGAAGTGAGAAAACGCGCGTTGTTATATGCAATTAAGATAATTAATGTAGATTTCAGAAAATGTAGATAGCAAACTCGTTGATAAAAATATAAAATATCGACAAAATATAAAATGACGATAAAAAAAAATTTAGTTGGGAAACACAGCAATCTAATAATAGGGTAAACAGTACAACTATCAAATAATACAATTATAGTTATACTGAAGGACGTAGGAAATATCGTAGGAAAGATTACCTTGAAGCTTATTTGCTCTTGTTTCATGATAAAAAAAGCCAACGTTATATCGTCGTGATTTTTGTCCGTATGATTTTAGGTCAATAGTAAAACTTGCTGCAGGGACATTTCTGTCACATATATTCTTTTTTGAAGTTAATGTTTAAATTATATATCTTAAGAAAAGTGAGAAAATTGTTGTCATCAATAAATTTTAATTTTGTAAGTAATAATATATCTCAATTTATTTGTAAATGACACTGCTATCGTAGTACTGTTTACCCTATTATTGTTAATGATATACTATTACCTGTATAAAACAGGATAGAATATCAGGATAGCATATCAGGATGACATCTCCCATGTAAAGCATCAAGGAACTTGGTTGTGTAGGCACTATTTTATATTACAACTTAATATGGTTCCGCACAGATATTTCTCCATTAACAACTTATTTAACACGTAATAATGCAGCTGTTATCAGCTCTATGTTGGATTCACGCTAACCAAATAAAATTAAACTAAAACGAGTAAAATTACTCATCACCAGGCGCCTGCAAAAGGAAAAAAGGTTGTAGGAAAGTATGCAAATGCATGTAAAAATACTACAAAATGTTTCTGTTACTGTTCAGTGGCTGTGATTGAGAACAAAAGACTAGTTTTGAATTCAAATGTGTATTGCAAACAATTACACATAACGCCCGTGCTTTATCTCATGAAGTTCTCTACATTAAAGCCTTTTACAGAATACCCAGATTTACTCTGTTTCTCTAATATTTGTACTTATTCTATAGAGTAATTAAGACAAAGTAAAAAGCGTTGCATTAGTAGAGGCGTCCGTGTCATGTAGATTAATAAGAATGATATATTGCCATATCTGATTTCAATCACAAATCGTAGGACATAATCCATTTATCATTAGTATCTTGAAAAATGAAGCAAATAGAATTATTTATACAGATTTCTCATCACACTCAATGGAGATAATGTGGAACGATTATACTCTCTATGATCTGTTGAATAGTTAATGATACATCAAATAATAAGATCGTTATAAATCGTGATCTCATAAAAATCACGTTATTATATTTTCGAGCGGGTGTACGATCGAATTGTTACGCAAATATTATTTTTCCGATAACTCTACAAAGCGAGTAAAGTATCAGTATTTCTATATGTAATGTCCCTCTAATCGATGATTTATCGAACAAACATTCAATTATATATATATATATATATATACATATAGAGACCGAGATGTACTGTGTAATATGGAACCGTACATATGTGCTTTTTAAACTGGCTATCAGAATTCTCTTGATAGTATGTAATAAAAATAAGGCTGTGTTGCAAAATTGGGCAAAGAGAGAGACAGAGTATGGTTCTAAACCACGTTTAAAAACAATTCTCACATATTTTTTAGGAATAAACATTACTTAACTCTTACTGACAAATAGAAGTAAACTTTATTCTCTGTTGCTCGCGTTTCTATTTAAATATCAAATACGGTCTAATTATGTTTTCTTGAAATACATATACCAAGTATCAGGAGAATATAAGTAATGCAATTGCACTTAGCTTATTAATTTATTAATTTTTTAGTATATGATTATGGGCAATATATACTAAAAAATTAATTAAGTCTTTACATGACTTACATGTACATGGTGTCTATATGAAAATTTATATAATCTTTTCCTCACATAGATTATAAACTATGTAAACTTTGTAAACAAAACAAACTATTGTTTCTCATTAGTGTTTCATCTTTCCATATAAATTAATAATTAAATACAGCAATGCAAATGATCTTCAACCTAAATAAAATAACAGCATTGTAATGTCAAGAAAATATAAAAATTATGTGTTTTGAGGAAAGGTCTTATTTTGAAAACAAAAAGAAAAGCGAATTATAAGCATAAACTTCGTAAATTATCTATGTAAATAACACACATGACGACACATAGTTTACATAGTTTAAATGTAAATATTGGTTATCGATGTTTATGCGTAGCTTATCAGACAATTAGTTTGGTAACAATTTACTAGTTCATTCACTTTAGAAACTATGCATTTTAAACAAATATACTTATGTAATTTGAAACTATTTTTCAACTCATATTGTTTTATAGAGCTCAGCTAATATTGTATGTATATGTTGGATGTGTGAATGAAAAGAAATATCAAAGCATCACTCGAAAAAAAGATTCTTCCATTTGTTCATATCATTCAATAAGCTACATATAAATATATAAACAGATATTTATATTGAACTATAAAAACAGATGTTATATCGCATGGAAACCAATTATCCGGAATTGGTTTACATTTCAGATCTGTTTCGTTTATTATTACTTAAGAGATCGAATATTATCCGAAAGATTGGAAATATTTTTTCTTAGGGCAGGAGTTGGATTTTTTAAATGAAAATATCGGTGTTACGTGACAAGATGTAGGAGTGTAATAATAACTATGTAAATAAGATATGATGGATCTGTGGGATGTATAGCATGGCAAGATTTATAGATCGATGATTAAATTGCAGAATATTGGAGGAAGAGAATATATTTTTGATAGATACAAGAGAAATGTGGAAAGCGCAATGAATAAGGATTATCGACAAAAATTTGAAGAGAATTTACGATTTGGTATTGAATATAGTAAAATTACGTTTCAGATTGAATATTTTTTGTGCAAATTAAATATATCGCATTGAAAGATATCATTAACAGCAGATTAGAACGAATAAAACAATTGTAGAACATCGCATATCATATACATGCATTACATGCACTATAGTTTAGTTATATTAGATTTGTAACTTGCCAAGGCATTTATTTATATCACATTTTAAAGCCAATATAGAGGAGAATTGTAGTTGTAAGATATTCTTAGCGCAAGAATGGCTAAGTAGCAAAATTATTGTCAAGCTATCGTGGTTTCAACATGTGCCTTTCACTTGTAAATTTGTGTGAATCATAAATGTAAATATTATATGTTAATAAGACATGTTAAGAAATATATTTGTATAGAATGAGAGTGGTTCCTCTATATATATATTGCGCATAAATAAAATAACAATATCCGCAAACTCGTAAAGCCATTGCATAAGATTACATGACGAATCGAAATAGCATATCATCAATTTGCGACGGATAGAAATTGTCCTTTTAGAGGATTATAATGTTCATTGATGCGACAATGTGAGATACGAGAAATGTACATAAATATATTATTAAAGGCAAGCTTTTAATTTTGACAATTGATATAATATGTAATTTATTATACAACAACTAATTTTCTGCTATGATTATATATTTCTCGTATGCCTTTTGTTAACCATGTAAATTTGTGTATTATGTTAACTGTGTTTTTCCGGTTTGAAAATAAAGTTTGAAAACAATTATTATAAAAAGTTTTATAATTGCCAAATATATATTATAATATTAAAAAATTGCCAAATATATTTTAAGCTTACTGTTCCTATCAAAAGGTGTCTTCTAGTAATCGGAAATTAATCAGATTATTATTTTTTGTATATAATCTGATCTAATATAATACAAATTATTTTTTATTAACTGTGGGTTAAATGCAGTTTAGCTTTAATCGCAATCTTATTTTGATCAAATAGTGATAGTAGTAGATATATATTCTGATATCTGTGTTAATGCACTCTAAGCATAACAATGTATAAGCAATACAACTGCTCATTTTGAAATGTTAATCAGAATATTACATTAATCAGTACATTACATTATGATAATTGACAACAGATGCTTTGCAGCTTCTAATTAAAAGGAGTCCATTGTTAGTCATGTCTGTGCTACAAGACAGATAATACTTCTTCACGTATAGCGTCAGACTAGACTTGAATTTAAGGTTCTCGATTAGAATTGAATGTTACATGCTTATTGTTAGTGCAAAATGATATTGCTACATAATAAAAATATTCAAGCGTTGATATTTGTCGCAAATATGCTGTCGCAATCGGTGGATTCTAACGAGCTCTCCTCTACGTATACTTCCAGGTAAGGAAATATATATGATGACATTAAATATGTTATTTCTTTTCCTATTCTATATACACTTGAAAGCATGACAATCGAATGTTACAAAAAGCTATGCGAAGAAAACAAAAAATAGATGTATATCATTTTATCGTTTCTTTCTAATTACGAATATTGAATAACGTATATATGCTGTATTTTCTAATTTTCAGCACCGTTTCAACGTGTCCCTTGCCCATAACAGTTTTAGATTTCATTCGTAATTCCACGCAACCCGATCTAGAAATTAAATGGCCCTGCGAAGTACGTTCTTACTGGCTATCGTTGCAGCCGTTCGTCAGATTCGTCCGTTTCTTGCTTCGCTATATAACACCGTTTATAATAATACTCGGTAAGGAATTAATGATTTTGCTGCGTACTGTGCACAATCTTTGACCGTTCTCATAAAAGTTGTAACTCGTATACTTCGTATAGGTGTATTGCTAAATACTGTATCTTTTAGTATGTTGAGCATACCAGTGTTATGTGACTCCAATTTGTCATTTTATCTAAGTGCGCTCGCTATATCGGATAATGGAGCATTAATTTTCAATTACGCTGTCAGCGTCGCAAAATCGCACTCGACATCCGTTAATGATCTTTTTATGGTAAATATTCTCATGTCCATTTTGCGTTTTGAGGCGGGTGCAATGACTAAAATATAAAAATTCTAACTATTTTTTTAATGAAATGATTCCTTGAACATTTTTTGAGGTATATAAAATAATTTTTGGATATATCTAAGAGCGTAAAAAAAATATTTCACATATAAAAATGCTCTGTCAAAGACTTTAAAATCTTTTGCTGCAATCGTGTTTTTCGACGTTTGTATATGTACCTTTTCCTTGGAAATTATTAGTCCCATCGTTATTTTTTAAAAATCTGTTTAGAAATAAATAGGATTTGATCGTTCGCGATTTAAGAGAAGAAAATGTAAATTTCTTAAAAATTACAAAAATTAAAGTTGCCAAAAAATTGATCTCATACAAAAAGCACCGATCAAAATGTAGTAAAATATATAAGAAAAAAAAGTGAACAAAAATTATTTGAATGTTAATCCAGTTGAGAAAAAAGAATATAAAAACAGATAATTTTGTCATATGATTTCGTAATTGCACACGTCTCCTTAAAAACTTCGATCGAACTTTGTTCAATCTTTCTGCTATAAGAAACTTATCGATTAAATCTTTATATTTTAATTTTATTCGAATTATTAAATTTTCTCCACATGCAGTATGCGCATTTGTAATATCGTGCTCTAAAATAGTGCCAAATAATTGAATAATTTATAGCATGTTAAAGGAAGATACTTATTGACAGCAGAAGAATTATAAACAGGTATAATTATGTAATACTCAGGATATATTTCTTCAGAACAGCAGATTCTTATGCGGAACAAATTCCGTGAGCATGGAGCTTTTCCAATTTACGTCGACTTGGTTGATCGTTGCTCTCACGTGGACGCGCGTTATCGCAATAATGTTTCCATTTGGAGCTCGCGGTTGCCAGAATTGTTCTGCAGTTATAATTATCACAACTTTAACTTGCATAAGCTTTATAATATCTTTAACAAAGTTGTACTCTGGCGGTAAAGTGTATTTGCATAATCGTATTAATTTTTTTACTATTTACAATTAAGTTATATTATTATTATTATTATTATTATTATTATTATTATTATGAGTTATTATTTCTATCGTCGAATTATAAATTATAGGATACGAGACAGACAGCGTTTTCGAATTTGCACCATGCCAGGAGAAAATAAAACCATGGGGTAACGCTATGTACCTTTACATCGCCCTATCCACATGGCTACCGTTGCTTTTTATATCCATCGGTAACTTGTTATTGATTATTCGCATGAGAAAGTCTTATAAAATTCACAACAAATTAACTCGTAAGTCATCATCGTGATTATTATGATATATAACGTTATGACAAGAGATTTAAGAATGCGATTTTCGCTTTAGATAATTTCAGATATCAAAGTAACAGAAGCCACAATTCCAGTAGGATGTTGCTTGCAGTATCGATAGTACATTTAATTTTAATGCTGCCACTCGGAATCGTCGAGACGTTGGAACTTTATTGGGATGTAATTTTAATTAAATATCCTGCTAAAAATGTAGAAGAAAATGGATATTATATACACTGGTAAATGACAGATTATAAATATGAATATTAAAAAAATATTCTAATGTTACACTAAGCTACGCCGAAATTAAATTTCTTCTACTTGAGACATTCATATAAAAAAAAAAATATTGCGTCATACATATATTTGAAAACGGCGTAATGTTATCTTTTCAGGTTGCAAGAGAAGATGTTACTCAAATGGTGCCGTGGTTTGTTCTTTCACATATACCACTGGAATTTTGCAATAAACTTCTTTCTGTATTATCTTGCAGGAAAGAAGTTCCGAAGTGTCGTAACGCAAACGTTGAAAAATTATACGAATTCACACTTGTGTTATAAAAACATTTTAAAATGTAACACATGGAGTAATTGTCATAAACATTTTGCGACGGTACGATCTTCTAGTACATCGTTGACAAGAGCTGTTATGCGAAGTAAACAATTTATCGACAATAATATGGGAAATAATGCTAACGAAAGAAATAGCAATATTGCTCAGTTATAAAAACAAAATATATTTTATAAAAAGAAACTCCCTTCGATAAAAATGTTGCATACAACTCATACTTATCCTTTGTTGAAAAAAAGATAAAGACATCGTACATTCAACTCAAAATTTATAAATAATTATTTCTTTTTTCACATACACATACGTCTATACTTTCTTAAATAATTCTGGAATTTATTCAAATAGATACAGAAAAATTTATTTATTTTCTCTAGTTTATTTTGCATACACATATGTGAAATGTTTATACATTAAACATCGCAAAATATCACATTGCATATTAGGCATTCCTTGCAGAACAGCATAGTTTTTAAGAATTAATTAGTATTTTAATTACATGGTAAAGATTTGTTATTACATTTTAAATATAACTATCAATTTTGCTATTATCACTCGCCTTTTCTAATCTCATCTTATATGCTAAGATCCTGGTCCCAATGCAGACCTTTGATGTAACTAGAAAAAATATGCTAATACTGTACTAATGAGAATTTTTCGGATAAATTAATATATACAATTAAGATTTACATTTTTCTCGGTAGGATATAGAGAATTAATAATTTTGATTTTCTTTATAAAATTTAGCCAGTGACTTGACAAATTTCTGCACATAAAATGTAATATCCTAATATATTTCAATGCGCCCTACCGAATCAATTTTGTCGCATGTACACACAATTACACACAATTCACATATAGATATAATTAAACATACATAAAGAGTTTATTCATCTTAAAGATAGGCTAAATGAATAGTTACCTAAGCTATGTGTCTTTATTCCACATTATGCACTCATGTAATATATATTTATAACTGTATTATCAATTATGTTTTTTTTTGTTGGTAACTCAACTGAAATAAATTCTAAATTAATTCAAAATACATGATAAATGTGACAATATAAATATAAAACATATTTATTTATACAGGGATAACCATTTTTATCATTTATAAATTATTCTTAAAATGAAATTTATATATATAGAGCGCATAAATAGGAAGATAGAATAATGTTCTACCTTCAGACATATTAAATTCAAATAATATGTACAACACAAAAGTTATAACTCTGTATTTGCATGCTAAATTTGGCTAAAATATATTCTAGAATATAATAAACTTTAATAAAGTATATTATTTTTTATTTGGTTGTTTATAAAACTGACTATCAAAAATGAACTCTTCAATTAACACACTGGAAGCAAACGTTTAAACTAAAATGGATTATTCATTACAATCATTTATAAACCTTGACAGATCAGCCATTTTATGCCTTATACGAAATTAATGTGTTAATTTTAAATGATTATCTTTTGTATACATCAGAAACTAAACTTTCAAATATATTCTTACAAAGATGTCTTCATAAGTAAAAAATTCTCAGAAAATTTTTTAAGATATTTAAAATGATTTTGAAATAAACTAAAATATATAAATTCTTGAAAATCAGATACACAGTATAGAGAAAACCTTAAACAATCTCGTACAAAATATATGTGTAATAAGAAAATGAAAAATAGATGTTTTTGACTTCTTGTACAATTAAAAACAGAGATAAGGCACATATATGAAAAAGATTTGGTGAAAAAATTCTCAATACAGATTCATATAAAGTCTCAAAAATAAGAAACATAGAAACTTTATATGTGATTTGCTTCAATAGTAATCTTTATAAAATATTGCAAACAGTATAAGGTGCAAAACTTTTAGAAAGACTAAACGAATTGTACATATTTTATCAATATATCGCAGAAACTGTTATTTTCTAATTTCTAAATATAATGTATCGCGATTATACTTTCAATGATTATTTTTATTGAAATACAATAAAAATCGTATGTGTAATTCAGTCTTTCCGTTGATAAAATTTTTTCAAATTTGCATTTTTTTGTAAGTAATTTGTACACGATCATAAAAAAATCAATTTTACACTTCCTTTTTTCCATTATCCTTAATATTGATTTATAAAGATACAATTGATAATCCTAAATAATGTTTGCAATACGGAGGTTTTCAGAATCTCGTAAAACAGTAAACTGTTAATAGATTTAATACAAAATATTGAGAATATATTTATATATTATAAATATTGAGAATATATTTAGATATTATGCGGAAGTCTATTAACATAATTTGCTGGAAATTGTCCCTTTCTATCATTGTACTCACCATACAACCAATCCTCTGATATCCTCGATATGACTGTAATTTTTGCACCCTCCTGTAACATATTAGACATATATATTAGGAATACAATAGATCCTTTCATTCAACTGCCTTGTTGCAAAATTTTTCATACTTCAAACGACAAGTCGTCACTGGTTTCTCCTACAAAAGTATAAAGTGCTGTAACTATGTTGTCCGATAAACCTGGCAGAGGTATTTTAATGTCAATGAAATTAAATGGAAAGATTCCTTGATGATTTCCTATTCTTCCTTCCAACCAATCATCGTTGATCTTTTTTATTAATTGCACAATATCGCCCTCTTTTAAAGCTAAGTCATCTGGATGCGTTGCTGGGAAGTCATACAACGCAATACCATAAGGTTTAGTTTCGAGATCTTTCTGTAAATTGAATTTGTTATTGACAAACATGTTTTGTTCTCTTAAACACATATTATATAACTTCAAGTTTATAATACTTACGCTAAGCTCGCCGTTCAATTCTGCCAAATAATCCGCAGGTGGTGCTGGTGGCGGAATCGTAGGCATGGGTGGTGATGGACTATTACTTTCTTTGTAGTCATTGGACCAGGCGTTAGAAAAACCTATCGCCAATGATTTATTCATCATACTGCTTGAAACCATACTGTTTGAAATTTTAAAATCGGTACATGCTTCCTTAGGTATTGGTTCAAGCATTTTAAATGGTATCCTTGGCGCTGGAGGCTTAGGAGGTCTTGCTCGGATTATCGTAGGCATCGACGTGACGAAAGGTTTAGAAGCAGTCAGATTGGAAGGCACACTATTCGCTACACGATTGTTGGAATTAGGAGGAAAGAGGCACGTGCCACCAGCGCCTTGAGGCACATTCGAGCATGTTTCTTCCAGAGGTCCAAACGGATCCTGCAGTGTTGTCTTATTTTGCCATGGATCATTTTGCGCTATTTTCTTGGTGGACATACCAAAAAAATCAAAATCATCTTCAAAGGCACTTTCTGTTTGCGATGTGTTTCCACTACTCGTGAACACAGATGGATTGGAATTTCCATCACTACCAAAACTGTCGATGCTGACCCCATCACTAGAACGAGTTGTGAATGTTGGTGATCCAGGTGGACTCAGATCTATCAAAGATACCGTTGCGATAGAGTTTGTGGATTGTAATATCGGATTCTGCAATTGACAGGTAGGACGTGATAAAGGAAGATTCTCTTGCTTCTTTCGTCCAAAGAAATTAGTCAGTAGCTCTGTTGGTCTGGCCTAATGTGCACAAAATAAAATATATGTGTAAGATTTAAAAATTGAGTTTGTTAATTTAATATACATTGCAGCTGACAAATAAATTGAATTGCTATACAATGCAGACTACAATTTGAACAGAAACATTTCTGAACATGCTTTTACTTGTTTTCAAAACTGCAGATACAATATATTTTTCAATATTATTGATGCACTGCTATTATAAGAGAAGCATATGTTTTATTGATACAAACTATTTCTCAAAAATGCTTCTGCGATGATTGTGTTAAGAATTATAAGCAAATTTTATAAATCACAATTCTTACCGGCCTCCTTGATTTCTGATCCTTCTGATACTGTATATGATTCTGATTAAATTTCGGAGGTGGAGGTCGAGGAGGTGGCTTTTTCTTTTGTACAGATTGCGTCATCAGGCTACTTCCAAAAATGTCATTACTAGAAGCATAATAAGAATATATAACATAGACTCCAATAGAACTTGCCAGGAGCATTACCTGGCAATTTTCGATCAGAATTATATAAATGATAAGATTAACATACCTGCTGCTCCAGATCGGATCTCTCTGCGTCGCACTTTGGCCAGGGGGACGAGGCGCCGCTCGCGTTGGTATTCGCATCTCTGAAAGCGACAACGACAACCTCAGATGAGATCAAACGACGCAATTGATTGTGAGCTTTGACGCAATCCGTTCCTCGCACACGCTGGTACGCACGCACACTCGCTCTCGCACGCGCGCACAAACACACACACACACACACACATACACACAAAATTCGTGTGCGATCTCAAATAACTGTGAAAAATTCTCCAAAACAAAGCGCACTGTCTGACAGATGCCACGATGTACGTCGTCGACTCGTGTCGCCGCGCGATGTACGCCCACTACATGTCAAGGCAGATATCACGGTGCAGATAAACGGAACACGGAGCGTCGT